AGGCAGGGAGGAGCTCCCAAAGAACCTTGGAAGAAAAGCCTGTAGATAAAAAATATGTGAAAATGTTCTTACTTTGCACATAAACACCTAAAAAAAAATCCCTCCACCTGACATAGAGATACACACTGGATTGTTTGGAATTAATGCAGCATGAAGGAGCTTCTAAACATTCAAATTTTCTCTGCTGTTTAAAGCCAGTCTTGTTTTGGAAGACATCATGGGGGAATGGCTGAAATGCTTGAGACAAAACTTAATTATTTTTATTGTTGTTATTTGTGATACTAAATGCAAAGAAGGAATGGGAGAGAGCATCTGTATCTGAGAAGTTTTGTAATTTAAAAGTAAATTTTGCATTGTTTTCTAGAAAATGTATTCAGAGCTTGAAGTCCCATTCCTGACAGATGAATATGACACTGTCTTGGCTTATGAAAACAAAGGTACCAGTGACCAAGAAACAGACAGGAGAGATCCTTTAATGGACACCCTGAACAGCATGAACAGAGTTCAGCAAGTAGAGCTCATCTGTGGTAAATATAAAAAAAATACTGATTTTCAGGATCTGCCTTAGCGTTTTAAGTGAACAGCTAACGAGGTCTTGCAGTTTACTTCAAAAATAGTTTGAAATCAGTGTGTAAAAGACTGACAGGTTGCAAAGCTCAGTCAGTATTACTACAGAGAAGTTTGTCCTCTCTGGACTTTACCTAGATGGTGCGGGAACTCTTCTCCTATTTAACATCGTAGGTATGGTATTAATGGTAATTTCTTCTGACTTAAATATTTAAAGATTAACTTAAGCTGTCTTAAATTTCATACCTTTTCCTGTTGCTTTGGCCATCTCCTGTTTTCTGGGGGAGTGCTGGTCGATGTGAAGCTGGGGTGAAGGCTGTTTCTTGACACCTGTCCCGCAGAGCATGCTGAACTTCAGTATGTTTCTCTGAAGGTTAGCTGGACAAATGCTCAGACCACACAGGCTGGTCTGTTAAATTATTAGGCATCTCTTGTTTTCTTCTTGTCTTCTTTTGCTTTTTGCTTTATTTTTTTATAATCCAGTTCAAATCTAGATTTCTCTGAAGTAAATCTGAATAATGACAAGAGGAAGTGCAGCAGGTTGTCTTCTTGAGCCAATGTTAAACTAAAGCTTTGTATTTTTTTCTGTGTTTACCCTTGCCTTTGCTTCCCCATTCAGAATACAACGACTTAAAGACAGAACTGACCGACTATCTCAGGAGATTTGCAGATGAGGGAACGGTAAGCAGAAACTTGCAGAATTTGTACAACTTTCCAGAAAGTGTTCTAAAATACTGTTGAAGGGTATTAGGTATTACAATACTGTTGTATTTTTTCTGTCTCTTGGAATTGTTGTAGAAATGAGACATTCCTGATTCAACGGGAATTTAATGGCAGTGCTGAGAAAAAACAGGAACCTTACAGAAATCTGTCTGTAAAGTGCTGGGAGCTGTTTTCAAATTTCAATGAAACTTTTGTTGTTCTAGGAAAAGCATTTTGGGAAAAAGCTCTTAATCTTTGTTCTTAGATTAAATTCAGTCTTTAAGGACTGACGGAATATTGGCAAAGTGTTGTTTTTTGTTTTCCTTGAGGAGTTGCTTGCCATTATTAATCAACACAAGCATTGTATTTGCTCAGTATTAAGCCCCAGCTTTACTGAACAGCCATTCTAAGTTGCATGTGTTCTGTCTGAAGCGAGTGTCAAATCTTGCTTTGTGTTAATTGTTCTGATCATAAAAGCAAGTAGCCAGACCTATTAAAAATACAAGGAGCTTTGCTCTCGGTGCTTAGCATTGGGTAGCTTGTTTCATTCTCTGTATTTTCCTATAATGGAATTTGGGCATTAATCATTTCCTTTGGGTAAGGCAGGAAAGCTGGTTTGCTAGCCATATCACACAGACTTCAGAATACTTTTAAATGCTTGGTGCATTACATATGGAACACATTTAAGAAAAAAAAAACAACTGCTTAATTGGGTTATTGTACCACAACTTGAGCTTCCTATTGTTTGCAATAGGTTGTTAAAAGAGAAGACATTCAGCACTTCTTTGAAGAATTTCAGTCACGAAAAAGACGACGGACTAACAGGATGCAGTACTACTGCAGTTAGAGGGAGAAGTTCTGAGGCTGAAAGGACAACTGGGGACACAATATTCATTGACAAACAGAAGAGGCATTTTTAGTACTTGGCTTCTCAAAATCCAACTATTCAAGAAACCGCCTCCACCTTCATTTTGTCTCATTTCCTTTATTTGTAGCGCATAGAATGTGTTCTGAACAGGTACATTGCTTTTATATGGATTTCAGTAGCGGTTTTTGCTTGTATTTCTTTGAAAGTTGGCCTCACCTCAAGGGGGAGGACTGCTTGTTGACAGAACTTTGTGCCACTGTTCGTTCCCTTTCTCCTTTGACCTGTTTTACTTTTAGTGCCTATAGCTCTCCTCTGTCCTAAAGCACAGGTGTGGGGCACGCTCTGCGTTGTGCAGGGCCGGAGCGTGTTGCTTTCCTGCTCTGAAGGGCTGTGTCATCGCTTCTGGTTGGGGTGACCGGCAGTTGCTCCCTGCACAAAGTAAGTTTGTTTATTTCTGCAGGGAGGCATGGGTACTTAAAACGTAAAGCAGGCATGAGGTAATGATGATTGCTGTTGGTTGTAATCCTGGTGGGTGAAACTGCATTCTAAAAGTCAGTTGGTATCATGTGAACTCAATAGCACAATAGAAGTTCTGCACAGCAGCTCTGCTGGGAAGTATGCCCTGAGCAGGTGGAAAGTGAGAAATCAGAGGTTGGACTTAATGCAAAACGTTGTATCCATTTTTATAACTTCGAAAACTTTGTTTCTAACTATGTACAGTGATGTTTTACATGCAAAAATTTGTCACATGAACTTTATCTGCTGGTTAGAATGTAAACAGTATCTAGGAAGAGGTACTAAATTACAAAGTAAGCAGCTGGGGGGTTTATAAGAGGACTTACAATGTGCTTTTATTTTAAAAACTAGCCTACTTCAAGTTGTTCTACTTCATAAATGTTCCTGCAAACACTGCAGCAGCCTGGTGTTTTGTACAGTACAAAATGGATGATCTTTTTATAATCACTGTGATAATCAAGGAACAGGAGGTTTCACTGACTTTTAAGAAGCTACAGTTAACTGCAATTAAATCTTGATTTTCCGTAAGTTATTTTGAGCCTAATGTAGTTTTTTTGTTTTGTTTTGTTTTTACTTACAAACCCCAAACCCTGCTTTAAGAAAGCTATAATTTTTAACTCTTGCTTTCTGTAACTGGAGGATGTGTTTGCCATGGGGTACTATTTTGCTTATTCATTAACTATTCATGTTAATGAGACTTTTTAGAAGAAAATCACACATTTAGTATTCCCCCTTTTGTTTTTAATTACTTCATTTACAGAAGCTTTTTCTAGCATAAAGGCTCAGCTAATTGGTTTGTTCCATGCAAAATGACTAGTTGCTTTTAAATTTAACTCTGGGTATTGTATGTGCTTTTTTGTAGCAGTTGTTACAAGACTTGTAACTGCATATCTAACTGAAAAATAAAGAACTGTTCAGTCGTTCACTCTGCATGGTCTGGTCTCTGAAATGCTGCTTTGCCGTTCTATTTTTATCCACAATCCAGCCCAGCAGAACTAGGGCGATGACTACACGGTCGCCATCTGGCCGAGATACCTGTGGGAGGCTGAGACAGGGGCTGGGCCAACCCAAACCTGGTATTCTGAGAGCTTTGCTTCCAGCTCTCCCCCACTTCGTTGTGCAGGGCTGGCATCTTGTATGCAGGTACACGTTTGAGCAGGAGAAAAAGCAGAAGGGTACTGGGGCTCCTGGGTGGCAGCTCTTGACATTTAATTCATTAAACTGGTGGGGGCAGAAGGTGGCCAGAGGCTTCACTTCCAGCTCTACGCTCAAATCACCCTGAACTGAAGCCCTGGGTTTTCACCGTTTTGCTGTTCTCTCCCTAGCGTATATGAGAACACCACCACACAGAACAGCTACCGCAGTGTAGCACAACTACCTACAGTAACACCCACTTACACCATAGTCACTGTACCCAAGGAATTAAAGCAGTGGTGCATAGAGGGAGTAAATTTTAGAGAAAAACGTGAACCATGCCAATTCCAGGACAGCTGGTGCAGCTACAGCTTCACACCAGGTGCAGACTGAAGCCACATTGCCTTGTGTTGGGTATCCCTGTACTGAAGTGAGGATGCTGTTGCAGAGTGAACACAAAGCCCCCAGCAACAGCATTCTAGTTTAGGAAGCTGCTCTTAAACCCCATCTTCCTGGCTCTGCAGGGATGCCCATTAGCATTTATGCTCATACAGCACTCCTGCTCCTTACCTTCCTCCCCTTTCTGCCAGGACATCACCCAAAAGATTTTGCTGTTGCACATCAAAGTGAGAGCGTAGCCAAAATCTGCTGCTGCTGGGTGATGCTTCTAAACTTCTGTCATCTCTGAAGTAGTGAAACAGTTGTTCCTGTGAAACAGAGTTAATGAAGATTCAGCTGACACAGGATACCTGCAAGTCAAGGAGAGGATGCTGAGTATTTAATTATTAATTAGTCTTTGGCTCTGAGGCAAACAAGCGTTTTCTACAGCAAGGCTAATGCTTGCTGCCTTGTCTATGAGTGCTGTTACAGACTAGTTATAGCCAGTTAGGCTCTAGCCAGAACTCACTGAGTTATTTTAGTGAAGTGCTTTACTTTTTAATGATTCTTTTTTTCCAGAATCACAGAATTATCTAGGTTGGAAGAGACCTCCAAGATCACCCAGTCCAACCTCTGAGAAGGAATGACAAAACTTACATTTTTTCCTAAGAGCCTGTGTTGTTACAAAGCAGCTGACGGGCTGTGTCTCATCACTCCTTCCCCCCAGCCCGGCAGAAGTTCCCACCACCACCACCGCCACCACGCACCTTCCTGCTGCTCGGGCACAGCGTTGGCAGGCTGCTGGGAGCAGGTAACTGAAGCAGCCACAGGCGGGTTCTATACAAGCCATTTATTTGAAATGCCAACTATACGTAGGATAAAGTCAGTGTTACATGCTTCTCAGCAACAGTAGAAAAATAGAACCAGTGAAAACCTTTGTACAACTGTAATGGTACTCAAAAGAGAAATGTATTGTTTTACAATGTATCACACAAGACTAGAATTCAAGTTTGGAGGTACCTAAATAAAAATACTATTTTTTTAAAAACACTATGTACAATTGAAGCGTAAACAAGTTTTACAAAGTACTGGTTATGCAGGTCGTAGAAAAAACACTTGCATAGGACATGAAGTCAGTTTAAGAAAGTTTTTCTGAGCCTTTAGCATCGAAGGCACTTGACTTTATACCAGTAACAACACAAGGACAAGAAACAAAACCGTGACATTGCAGAAGGCAGAGCTACCTTCTGGAAGTACAGATAATTACAGAAACCCCAAATATGGTTTTACAGTTTTATCTCTCAACCGTTCCCTGTATTGAGCAGAGCTCAGCACCACCTCTACCATAAGCATACAATTATTAGAAGAACTAACATTGCCTCAAACAGCATGTGTATTCTCTCAAAAAAACCCAAACCAAGGAAATCTATGAAGACAAACATTTGGGACATTCAAAGACCAAAACCCAAGGCTTACAAGTAAGGGTGGCCACAGCCTTAGCTTTCAGAAATGAAAAGCATGACAAGAAACTGCCAAACAACACAGCAGTTATTAACACACAACTACAGTAACTCCGTGGAACAGTAAAACACTTCAAAGGAAGAATCTGTTTCAGGAATTCAGTTATTCAACGATATATTAAGGAAAAGAGGAAGGGCTCAGGGAAAGGGGAGTAAGAAGTTTTTGCATGTTGCTCACTAAATGAAAATCTGAGCTCTTAAACAGAAGGAGCATAACTCTTCCTCAGCCAAGAAAACGTGATGTCCACACCTCTATCCTAAAGAAAAATACAGTCACTGATCCATTGTCTCCATCAAATTTGTAGGAGGAAAGGATGTTAATTTCCAGCCTAATTGGAAAGTGCTTCATGTAAACAAGGAGTTTTTGCACCAGTTTCAGTAGAAAGAGAACAAAAAGCAGCAGGTAGCACAGGTACGTGCGTGCTGCACGAGAAGCGTATGAACACTGGCTTCTGATTAATGCTTCCATGAAGAATAAAGATGGTCTCGCTCCCCTCCCTCTGTGTCCAACTAGGTAGGAAATCCTACTCTGGACTACAAAAATATGATTCCAGTAATTTGACAAATCCTTTTCCGCTCAAAATCAGCTGCCATTAGCTGCTATCATCTTCCTAACTCAAAATATACAAGTGAAAACAGATTGTCTGAATGGCCTGATTGTCTGCGTGGCCTCAAAAGGACTTGCCTTTTAGTTTGAACCTACTTTTAAACACTTTATTCTTTTTAATACTGTTCTGCTTCTGAGACTTCAGAAGCAATTTTGTATCCTAAAATGCAGGCATGTCCCCCCCCAACCCCAGAAAGACATTTCTCACCAGCTTATTCCAAAGACAAACCATTTCATCATTTCCCTCAAGCCGTAACCTCAAAACCTTTCAGTCTTTATCAGCCACGTCCCCACAAATTTTAAGCTTAAATCTGTAGACTTCAGCCCCATCTCAGTCCAGGCACACAGTGCCGCATCAAACTATGAGTAAAAATAGTTTCCTTTGAAAGTACATTTATAATTTCCAGGTAAAAATAAGTTACTCAGAACAGTAAGTCTTCTGAGGACAGCTACGACTTCTTAGCAGCTAAGCTACCAACATATATATAAATAATGCAAATGCAGTGAGGTTTTTTCTTTCTTTTGTGTGTGATGCTAACTAATGCTTCTAGTGCTCACGGGCAAGAGACCAAAGTGTCTGGTTAGAGCTACACAGTAAGACAGCACTGTGCTCGGATCTTCAGAATAAATCCAATGAACCTCAGTCCCTGACCCACAGGAACCTGCTCCCCTCCCCACACCTTCCTGCATTTAACACTATTTTACACTGCAGTCCCACACCAGTTACACTCAGTGGTGATGAGACCAGGGCTCATTCTGACCACGGTCAAAAAGCAGTTTAAAAGAGGGTAATGGAGGAAAACACACATCTCCCCTCACCCACAAAACACTTACATGACCTGTGCAGCTTAGCTGTGTTTCTCCTCCAATCCTACACTGTGCCTTTTTGGCTGCACCTCGAGAGGAGTGCCTGCAGAGCTTTCCTAGAAGCGGGAGGCATATGTATGTAAGCATGTAGGAGACATCATGATTTATTGGTCCACAAACCCACATCTTCATTTATCTACAAGCTATTTGGTAGTTCTGAAATGCAGTATTCAGTATAGTTCAGTAAAATGGTATTGTTGTCAGGCCTTGCATGCTTTAATGGAACAAGGTGGGTAAGAAAAACTGCCATCAGCTACATGTAAATTTGCAGAAGATTTCTCTTAAAGTAGTATTTAGGCATTCTGAACTGCAGGGAACAACCTAACCTCGATATAGTTCTTAGGTCACACTTAGGATTAGTTTTCAACTACAGGGAAATCCTTTGTTATAGAAACTGCATTAAAAAAACACAAACAAATGTGTGTTCACCAGTAATCACTACACTGCAGTGGCATCGGATCCCTATCCTAAATGCAACGAAGCTGCTGTAAGAACTGCACACTGGGTATTAAGAAGGATGCACTTAACTACAACCGTCACACAGTCGTGTTGTTTCATCTCAACCCAGCAGTAGGGAGCCAGCCCCAAATCTTCACATTCCCTCTGCATATCATGTTAATAGATGAATCTCATTCCTGTGCTTTAAAAAAAAGCAAGATCAGGGAAGAGAAGCATAATTTAAGAGTGCTAAAGCTTCACACATTTGACAGTGCTAGAGCAGTTACTCTTCATTTGGATTTTGTTCACAGAACAGTGGCAACTACGAAGTCAGAAACACTTCAGATCAGATAAGGAACACTGAACGACATCGCTAGGAGTGAAGCCCTTTTTAAATCATAGGCAGGAGAAAGCAAGGCAATGAGCAGTCACCTCAGCACCTCTGTCGGAGAGAGAACCTCTCAGCTGGAGAGCTATCAGCCAGGCAACAGCCTAGGATACTATGCCTTGTCTTCCTGACATGCCAGGATTTAGCATGAATCCTCAGCTCTAGTCTTCACTTACCCCCATGCAGGGGTAGCTGGAAGAACAAGTTATTACTACCCTTTTTACAGTATTTCTAGATTTACCTCTGCATGGTCAAATGAACAACTCAAGTCTGCCTAACTAATAAGTGCTCTTGGGTGATCACGAAATTCTCCATGGTCACAGGCGAACCACAAAGCAAACAGAATCAGAAAGTCAGATCCTGATGAATTTCACTGGAATTTGGACTCCTAAATATCCCCTGGACACTTAAAATCCCAAGTGTAATTCTTGGAATGGGCTTGCTATATAAGGGTAAGACCAGCTGCCAGAACTTCTCAAACAGAACAGACTGGATTCTTGCCATAGTCATAAAAATCAGGAAGATTTCAGATCTAAACAAAAAAAATTAAACTAAAAATGTAGTATTTTGATGTGCTGTTCTTTGGAATTCCTATAATTAAAAAATAAACACATTGTTACTATCTCGTAAGAAAATACATTTCATTATGTGCAACCCAATGCACATAGGGAATTGGCAGGTGAAGGGGAAAATGCAAAAAGTATGAAAATACAGTCCTTTAAATGTGACAATAAAGTTCAACAGATTAGTACAAAACTAATACACTAAAATAGATGTACAGGTGCAAAATGCTACCAGGTTGTAGAAAAAAGGTACCAGCTTTTTTTTTTTTAAAGGCTTAATTAAATCTGATCGAAAAAAGTTTCCCACAAAATAAAACCAGAAGCAGCATTAAAAAACCGATAGCATGCCGTCTCTAACAAAGCAATGTATGTATGTACAAAAGAAGTGAATGAAGCTGAATTTATCTGCTGGCATGAATGAATTTGTCTGACAGAAGTCAGGCCAGAAGTTGCAAAGAATGGGATACAACTCTTAGGCACAGAGAAATAGTGGAGGTTGCTTTCATAGAGCAGATTTTTTATACAGGAAGTCTGGTTTGTTTGGAGACCTCCTTCCTCTGCTTGCTGCATCTTCCCTTTCCAAATCTGCATTTCTCTGTGTGCCATGTTCCAATGGCTCATCATCTGCCAGTCTCCTGCTGGGTCTCTCTTCTTGAGCTTCAGAGGTGTACGCAGAGAGCGAAGGTCTGTTGGAGGTTAGCCCGTAGGTTAAATCAGTTTCCATTTTTGTTCTTCCCCTGATGTGAACTGGGCCGTTACCAGCATTCTCCTGGGCAGCCAACGCCAAGTCCAGCCGCTGGGGAGGTTGTTCTAAGACATCGAGGTGTATTGGCTCATTCTTTTGTCTGTGTTGATGCCCGTCTTGGGAGAGCAGGTATTCCCTCCTAGAATCCTCTTGCTTTTTAGGAGATATCTGGGAAGGTAGATAAGCTGACTTTAAGCCACTTGGTGATGCCTTATTGTGGCTGTACAAATCTGGGCCAAAGTAAATGCCTTGCGAAGGCGAAGGGCTGTGCCTGTTTGGTGCTGGAGTGGAAGGTCTGCATGCAGCATTAGAGAAATCATAGAAGTCAGGATATTCCTGCTGATTTTCTCGAGCATCTATTTTTTGCTCTATTGCATGTTTCTTTCGAGAAGTAGGCATGTGTCTGCTCTGAATACATGAAATGTGCTGGGGTGGACCGGGCCCTACCTCTGTAACCGTCTGGCTTAGTTCTGTGTCGACAGTGAGCTCGGGTAACCTTCTGTCTTTTAAAGACATTGCTGACACACCCATTGCAATATCTGGCATCAGTTCGTTCAGCAAGGGCTGAGTACACTGGAAAAGAAAAGAAATAGGTCCATGGGGAAAAAAGCAAAAGCTAAACACAAACTGTATTTAGCACAGTTCCTGCAATTCACGACATTTTCTTGACCTACCTTCACCTAGACTGACCTTAGCCAGCAAGTTTTCTATGCTGTTTAAAGAACATGTGTTTCCCAACCTCCACCCTCCTGCTAACTTAAGACCTTTTCTTCATGAAGAAGTGGCTGTGCTACAACAGGAGTACCTTCTTAGACATATTATGTTGTGTTATATTTAGTAAGTGCTCAGTGCAGGACCTAACACAAATGGTTTGCTATGGCAGAGAGTTTCAGTGCAGGGAAGACAATGAAATGTTTCTTTCCTTACTATAGCTATAACCCCTCAGCTTGCATTTTAAAACAAGTTAATCAGATGTATGTGTATGTGCACTAGCCTCAGGGCTGGGGAGCACCAGTTACAAGGCTGACAAGATCCATGAAGCGCATGGATCTCGTAGCATGTACATGTACTTCTTCCCTATGCCTGCAATGGGACAAGCAGATTCAGTCTTCCAGATAGAAAAGTTAACTTCCACTTGTATTTAATGTTTCTAATGAAAGCAATTTTGGTAAGCATTAACTACTAGTAACTCACTAACTGCAGAAAAATTAAGGAACAAAACTATTATCTATACTACATTTATTTCTCCTTCTATTTTTAATATATTTTAGGTGAAATATTCCCACTGCGAAGCAGGGAGCTGTGCCCTCCTGCCCAAGCTATAGATGAACAAGCTCAAATTTATATCAACTATCGCAGAAACATCTCCATAACATTACCTTTCTGAAGTCTGCACTGACAAAGAAAAAGAGACTTCTACTACAAATGGAATCCTTCAACTCAGACTTATTTTCTTCCATTGTTTGCTCAAGTTAAATATTTTAACCTGAAATGCAGTAGTGCAATATATTTAGGGCAACTGCTAAAGGAAAAAAATAAATCATGTTTCCATTCAGAACTCCAGATCAAGCCTGCACCTAGACAGCAGGCTTTCAGTATGACAGAACAGTACGCTGAAAGTTTTCTCACTGAATAAATGATTACCATGTTCTTTATTTAGCTTTTCCTGTACTTCAGAGCTATCATTCGGTTCATCATCTGTTACAGTTCACTATTCACAGTTCATTGCATCATACTGTAGTTCAGTAACTAAGATGTTTTTCTTTAAATGCCGTAACAAATTATCATATCTGCAATTACCAATTTCTGCTTGCCTATCTATTTTAAAATCTTTTTCACAGATGTGAAGCCTTTTCATTCTCCACAGGTTCCCTTCACACACAACTGATTAGTTCAGGGCCACTTACCTGCAAATAGCCAAGATATCATAAATATTTCTACTGTTATAGCATACAGTCCACTACTGAAGTTTACTTGTGCTTTGTTTTAATGTGGAGCAAACTATGCTATTTCAGAAGCTTTGCAAGACCTATTTGCCCCTTCAAAACCACTCCTGCCCCTGGAGCTCTCGTCTCCCAGGGATGAGACCCTGCCTTTCAGATGCAAAAGGCTGATGACTGGTTTTAACAGAAGAATCTCCTGACCAGCACGCTGTTTCAACTAAGCTTTTACCTCATCACAAGAATTCTCTCCAGCTCCTCTCAAGCTACTACAACCTGCCAGAGGTGGGGAGAAGTCGTAATACTTACTACTTGCTTCTCAGCTGCCATCACTGCCGCTGCTGCAGCCACCGTTTGCCTCCCCAGACCTGTAGTGTTAGTGCAATCTGGAGGTGCTGCTTTCACGCTGGGCAAGTAGACAGGTGGCGCAGCCTTGGGAGCTGTTCGGGAATGGAACAGTGAGTGATTACAAGGGTAAGAAAAAGAACGCGAGGGATGTTGACTTGGCACCCTTTGTTTCCAGCCCACTTTGAACTGGTTGTGAATAGGAGTTGCTGGTGGGTGGTATGGAGGTGGAGGAGGGGGCAATGGAGGATGGAAGGCCACAAAAGAGTCCAGTTCTGTAAACATGGTTTCTGCAGTGGGAGTGCTGTTAACGCGGCATCGTCCAGACTGCCTCATTGTCAGGAGCGGGCTTTCATCCCCAAATCGCTCATCAGGAAAGAATTTGTGAGGATTCTGCAAAGAAAAAAACACAGAAAGAAAAAGTAGGAAGTCATCCAAAAAGTCTCCTAAACTGACACTTCAGAACTTTAAATCTGCTAGCTCTGTAACAAGCTAGTTGTGCCACCGAACACCTAACCAAACCTCAAAGCCATTACAGCTACCATGGAGTGATTTTATTTTTTTAAACACAAGAAGCATCAGGTTCACTATGTGAAAAAGCTGCCCAACAAATGCAATTTGCTGCACAGCAACATAAAAACAGAAGAGGTTATTTCAGTTTCCCAGAACTGATACCTCCTATGCAGATCTACTGAGTCACAGGAGAAAAAGGCCTATGTGATTCAAGAATAAGTAATCTAGTTTCCTAGTTATGCCTTGACTGTTTTATGAACTACCTCCTTAACAAGAAATATAAGCTGTTCATGCTCACGTTCACTCCCACATTGCATACCGTGTTCAGCTCTGCTCTGGAGCCCCCAGCACAAGAAGGACATGTGTATATTAGAATTAGTACAGAAAAAGGCCACAAAGATCATCAGAGGCTGGAGCACCTCTCCTGTGAGAACAAGTTGAGGGAGGTGGGATTGTGTAGCCTGGAGAAGAGAAGGCTCCGGGGAGACCTTACAGTGTCCTTCCAGTACCTAAAGGGGGCTACAGCAGAGCTGGGAAGGGACTTGTCAGGGTGTGTAGTGATAGGACAAGGGGGAATGGCTTTAAACTAAAAGAGGGGAGACTTAGATTAGATATAAGGAAGAAATTTACTCAAAGGGTGGTGAGGCACAGGAGCAGGCTGTCCAGAACAGCTGTGGCTGCCCCAGCCCTGGAGGTGTTCAAAGCCAGGCTGGATGGCCAAAAGGTTGGAGGTGTCCCTGCCCATGGCAGGGGGCTGGAACCTAGGGGATCTTTATGGTGCCTTCCAACCTGAACCATTCTGTGGTTCTGCTGTGCACTCCAATTGCACACCATTTACAGTCAGTTAAATCACACCATTCTTTTTACAGACTTACTTCTTTATATCTTAATGATTCAAGCGTTAAGAAAAAAAAATCAAAAGAGAGGTAACATTTGGAATTCACATCCGAATGCCCTCATTTGTATGCTACAGATATTGTACAAAAACTATTTGCCAAATATTCGACTAAATCAGACTAAATCAGAGTAACTATGATTATGTAACTCAGATTTTGTAATGTTTCAAAACCTAGTTTCAACAGGGGGAAAGACTGACATTCTGTCTCCTAGAAAAACAGATTTGTTTTTAACTGAAGGCCGTTAAAAGCTACTACTTCTGGTGCTTCCTTGAAGGATCAGACAGCATATTTTAAAAACTGTTCTATCCTACTTAAAAAACAACCCTTTAATCTCAATCTACTTTAAATCCAAGATTCAACCTTCTTCCCAAGTATCTGTGGCAGTCAGAACACCATTCATGGCAACAACTTCTGAGAAAAGTATTTACACATTGCACCTAAACGTTTATAAAATCACATCAATCAAATGCAGCAGTCTCACTGGACAGTTCTAAAGTTTGAAGGCATTTCAAAGCATCAGTGTTTGTTCCACACCCGTGTGCATGAAGCAGCTCTTTAACTGCAGATCACACATCCAAGTCAGTTCATAATCAGAACCTGAATCAAAGCATTTGTGACCTTACTACAGCAACTTGTCCTACCTGCAGAAGTTCAGCAGCAGCATCAGAAAGTCCAAATTCCCGCAGCACACGAATCTGAATCTCGTAGCTGACTGTGGCACCTTCTCCACAATTGAGAGCATACGCTCTTTGCACCTGCTCAGTGTGACGAAGCTCCTGCAGCCTTTTGATCATCTCTTTTACAACAAGGAGGTTGGGAACTGGAGGGACAGCAGAGAGAGGAATTGAGGACAACAGATTATTTTTCAAGCTATGAGACACCAAGCCCAAATGCAATGGTTACATTTAATTCTGAAGGAAAATCTAACATCAGGCTGACTAAGCTTTTTCTTTTCTTTTTTTTTTTTTTTAAAAGAAACATTCTGCCAAAAAGTTTGACTTGCACATGTTCCTTGGAGCATCATTATGGGGTAAGACACATGGGATAAGGCACACATCATACTAATGGTAGAGACACACACCATTTTTCCAGCTTCTGCTAGAGTAAACCACAAATACAGCCTTCTTTTCAAACCCCTTATAATGCAGGAATTTTATGATTTGAGGTAGGGGTAGGATATCTTAAACAACAACTGACTGCTCCCTCATGAATACTACAGGCCAAGAATTCATTGATTTTTCTTGGCATCCACTTCATACTTCTAGTGGAATTCTGTAATCACAAGACCATAATACCAGTATGTAAATTCTAAAAAAAAATTATACAAACTAAGCCAAACTAAACCTGCTAAATTATGTTGTTTTATGCAGCCATGTTGAAATCATTAAACAAAGCCTTTCCAAAAGGAAATAATATATAATTTGGGGGTATTTATGCTATTGCAAAACTTTCACATGCCACTCTTTGCTGCTGTTTGATGATGAATAATATTTCTCTGTGGTCTTTCTGTCCTCAGGAACATATGCATATCAAGAGAGAAGACAAATCCAAATCTCTGAATACGTAAGTCCTGGCATCTGATCCATTACCAGCTTTACAAGGGTTATATATTACCACGACCAGATGTCCATAATGAAAGCTCATAAAAATTAAGTGGATCAGACAGCAAGAACAGTGTGAAAAGACATTTGCATTACACAGAAGGAGAAAACCCAACACTGTACAACTACAACTGTTCCCAATTTCACAAAGTTTACATTGGTACAAGAAACGTATCTAAGTAACACAAGATATATATATATTTCCAAATTGAGTTCCCGTACTAGGAAAAACTACGGATCAATTCTACCCTGTCTTCACGGCTTGGAAACAAGTCTTCTACCTTATGTTCCATACACTTCAATTGTTCTCAGAAATCCCAGTTTAGCAATCACATGTTTTGCTATACCCAGCATTTTCCTAACACTGAAAAAAAAAGATTTGAGAAGTTTAAGTCAGTTCTCCAAATTATTGATTATAAAAGTTATCTAAATTTATCATGAAAACGTGCTATCTTCTCAAACCCTTTTTTGTTTTTACACACTATTGTTCATGTGAAGCATACAGAAGAGATGTTATTTTATATATATAAAATGAAAAATACAATTCAGTTGTAGGATTTCCAATTCAAACTGGAACTGGAAAGCACCAAAGGAAACCCAATTACCTGCAGAACCTAGCCTCAAAGCAGAGTACAGACTTCAGTAGAGGTTTAACTCATCTCAGAGTAGCGTTGCAACAGGAGCACCAGGACAAGCTGCCAACAGCCTTCACGCAAATCAAGTCTATGGGCAGTGAGTACAAGGAAGATGCAAGCGACAGATGGAGAATACCTAAGCTGCAGAGAACCTCCTGTTCCAAGAGCCCAGCCCAAGGGGCAAGGAGATGGTGTTGCCTGACTTTCCCTTCAACAGCTCCTGTGAACCATCTGTGCTTCAAGGATGGATTTCTGCAGCAAGTTAAGGGTTTTGTACGTGACTCAATCTCCTCAAATTAATTGGCTCCCATCTACCCTTCTTGCCTCAAGCAATTGACAAAATAATCAGTTCTTTTGCATAATTACAGAATGAAGCAAAGCAGGCAGTTACCAGACAATACCTGCGCTCCAGCTACTGTCCAGGCTCACAGCTACTGGCAATAATTCCTACATACTACATTGTGCAGCAGAGTTTCAAATTGGTCAAGATGCCTCACTGCCCCCAGAGACAGATTTTTTTCTGACTATGAGAACTTCTGTAAAATATTAGAGACCTTTGAGAACTTGCTTCCTTTATCAGCTTCTCTAGAAACTAAGATCTGGTAAAATGTTATCAAAGTCACATGTAATGATGAAATATTTCTGATTCAATTGGTGGTGAGTGTTCAGTATGTTTATGCTTTTCTGTAGAGGGAGGAAAACCATCTGAATACTTCAATGCCACAGTTACAGGTCTCTGAAAGGCCACAGTTACAGGTCTCTGAACATTTTTATTTTTTTTTTTAAATCAAGCTACAGAAGTCTTTTGACATTTCCTTTAGGCTTTATCAAGTCACTTCCTCAATCACAAAAAACAATCAAGTAGAACAAAACCATTCCAGGAATCTTTCTAGAAAACTTACTGCAGTGCTTAACCAAACAGCTTCCTAATACTTCAACTTAAATACTCTTGTTGTAATTTAAGCCTACTATTTTGCCCTGCCTCCAGCCAACCATAAGAATAGTTTATCTACTTCCTTCCACATAGCTGACTGCAGGGAGACACCACAGATATACAAAGAGCCAATGAATTGGCGAGTGGGGAAGTGCACGGCAGGGAGATGAAGCAGACCATTTTTCTGATGGCATGTCATCTTTTCTGCTTTTCTACAAACTCCTAAACTGATCCACGTCTACTTAGGTGTGATGCTCTGATCTAAAAATGGACGCCTTGCAAATCACTTGGCAAAGCAGGTTAAAGTAAAAGCCCTTCCAGGAGCTTACTTTTTTTTTTTTTACCTATTTATCATGCCATCTGTATATAATTAATAACTTCAGAATAAACCAAAGCAAAAAGAACTGCTGCAGGGTACAAAGAAGCATAATCTATGAAGCACCCCTTTCCGAGGAGGCTGATCATAGTTTTCAGTCATTCACATCCACTCCCCTGTCCCAGAGCCCCCAACCACTCACTCCCATGAGAGCGAGCAGCATTACAAATGACCCTGCAGCCTCACCTGGGATTTCGTTGGCTATGACTGACGGAGGACTGGACTGGTTAGCAGTAACTTGCTGGTGGGTGATCATATGACAGCACTGCGGCACCGCGTTGTTTACCATGTAGAGGGTGTCTGGCACGTTGGACATTCGGACCATCCTCAAGCGAACGAGGTCTGTTTGTTCCACCATCATTTCGTCCAGGACCGACTGCAACGACAGCCATCGGAGCCCTCATGAAGGCACTGCGCACTCATACCCCCCAGGAGCTGCCTCAAACACAGCCCCAAGGCCACAAGCCTAACACCGGTCTAAACTGGGTCCCACACTGAATTTGGCTTTTCCACAGCATTTTATATTCCATTTTCCAGTCACTACTAGAGTTGGCTTTCAGAGCTAATAGCAGTCAGGGGAATAAAAGTCGGAAAGACTGCTTTGTATGTTTTGTACCTTCTCAAGGCAAGACCCTCTGGACTCTCAGACAATTATTACCTATAGATGTCAATTCTGTGACAGTGAGTAGAAGACACTGCCTTCAAAACGAAGTGTGCTTCCCTCAGATGTCTTCATAGAAAGAATTACGCTATGCACACCTTCAGTTAAGGTTCTAATTTAGCTTTTTTTTTTCCCCAAAATAATGAGAGGCTAACAGAGAGTAATAACTTACAAGTCACGTATGTGCAATTTTTGCATTTTCCTATAAACAAACTGAATAGGAGTAGTCACCAGACAGATAATGAGAATAATTCCTCTAAGGTAAAACTGCTAATGATACTTCTTAAAAAAAATAAATTAACAGCAAAATAAAACAAGATTCCTAATGGAAAAAAAAGTATAGAATGCACTTATTTTTAAGATGCTAAAGCATTCCAATACTATATACCTGAAAACTAAGAGTCAGTGTTTTTATTACATGTTCTTTAACACATTGTTAGTTTTAATAACCCAAGGTACAAAGATACATTTTTAACTGTCTAGTCCTCCTTCGCTGCTTTAGTGCCACCTGGCACCCTTATCTGTGCCCAAAGTGAAAAACAGCTTTCCTTCTCCCCTCCCCTCAATGAGTTATGTCAACAACAACTCACACTTAGAAAGTGTTTTCTTCCTTAAGCAGAGGCCAAAAGCTCTGACTTCAAGACCGCAGTGTTCAGTGTTTGCAGGTGGTGTGGATGCACAGAGCTCCACCTAATCATCTTGTCCTGCCATCACCTGCACTGCTGGGACTCAAGCTCCTGACATAAGTCAGAGCTGCCTTGGGCTGGGGGGGGGTGACAGTGGCTAACCATTTATAAGGGTCCCGTTCTGTCCAATACAATATGGCAAGTTTCTGTCCTGCACAAAAGCCCTGTCACCAAACGTCACCGTCATCAGAGGTGATGAGTGACCTTCATTTCACAGTCCTCATGCAAGATATTTAATAAGAAAACTACTGTGTGAATGGGAAATGAGGGGCTTCAGTCAAGTTAGGACACCGAATATTTATTCCACTTTGCATAGGATTGAAAGAATTTTTCTTCTGCTCTAATTCAAAGAAAAAAGTGAAATATCAGAGTCCTCTGCCCAGTGGAACAGAAATTCTCCACCCAGCTCTAGGGGGAGCTGGGGAGCCTGAAAGACCTGGCACCGAGGTTGCTGACTAGCTGCAGACTGGGACTCTCAGGCTCTCACCTTGCCATCCGCCTGCCAGGTGGGCTGCCGAGGAGCTGGGCCGGCAAACTGGCTGGAAACCAGGGAGGTTTCCCTCAGAACGCTGCTTTGTTTCCGGTGGAATTTCATCAAGATCTGTCTCGCAAACATTTCAATTTCGACAAAAAAAAATTTTGTTGAAATTTTTCTGACCAGTTCTAGAGACTTGAGCCTGATGATCAAACTTGTAAGTCTTGTTAAATTGAAAATGTTAGTATTTTAGGGCAGTACATGCAAAGAGAGACAACACATACCGACATTTTTCCCTGTTTACAGAACCCCCGAAGACACGAGTTTAACAACAGCCAGATACTATTAGTTATTATTACCTTAGCCTCCTCCACATATGGTGAGAACAGTCTTGGCCGCACATATATCCCAGCATTTTTTTGTCGCAGCCAGGCATTTGACTTTCCACCTTCTGACGTTGGTAGCATGTCTGAAGGAGGAGTACTAATCAGGCCTCTCTTCATCTTTAAGAATGAAGAAAAAGTTTCACGTTTTACTAAATAAAAAGTGTATGGGAAAAACTTGCAAGAAATGCACTTCATACACTGAATCTGTACACCACTGTGGGGTTTAGCTTTTTTTTTTAAAAAAAAAAGTTTCCTGCTAGATTTAAAATATAAAAAACTTTAACCTGAGAAGTTACTTACATCTCACTTTCAGTGATAACATTTTAGTAATCCTTAAAAAAAACCACCACCCCCCTCACCCCTCCTCCTCCTCAAAAAAGGACTTTTCCTCCACAGAAAGTCACACAACCTAAACACACGTAGAATCTGAAATGCAAAGAACCCACAGAGTACTTGTATGAGACAGCTGACTTACTGCATCACTCAGTACTTCACTACTCATGGGTAAGATGTGCTCAATGCGGACAAAAGGTAAAAGTGGAGACAGGATCTCTCTCAGCTCCTCGATGTCAAGATCTCTTCTCTTTACACCTCTCTTGTTTACACTGTGAGCAGTACCACTCAATAAGTTAGGCTCTGTGAGAAAGAACAAGAAATAGTAATTTTACACCAAAGTTTAAATAAGAAAGCAGAAGCTACATGGCTTACAGGAAATTACAGAAGAGGAAAGAAGAGTCTAAATTAGACTCAACAGCGCTTATCAGCACTGTTCCACAAAACTAGTGTATGCTCTAAAATCTGATATGAAACATCGGCGGAGTCAGATTCAGCTTCTATGAGCATGGGTGATTTGTACAGCTGTCACTTTCAAAGCTTAAGACAGGAAGAAAACACTAAAGTAGCGTCTGAGATAAACGACCATAAAACTCAGGTAGAGTTGCTGTATGAAAACATTTGTGTTTTTCCCAGTGACTCCCTCCTACATCTCCTCTTTTCTTCTCCAGCAATTTTCAGAAACTTACTTATTTTCTACAAACTAAGGGCTGAAGGGACCACTGGGACGAGTTATTCTAGCCTCACAGGATAAATCACCCTAGTAACAGCTATATCACAACCTTGCTTTCATGCTCACACACTATTTATTTATGCCAGCAGTGGGTATGTACCTAAAGACTGCTAGATGACACTAGATGACATTCCAAAGGCATTCTCTCTCAGAGGTAACTACCTTCACCTGTATTTTAAGTATTGTGCCCAACCTGAACGTGACTAACTTCACTCCTTGAGGACACCCGTCAATTATCCTCCATTCAGGACAGGCTGCCCAAGTTCTGGTGTAGCTCTTATTTCTGCTTTTGTACACCACATTATCCAATGATCCCAGGAAACAGAACGAGCCCTTTACTTAATGAATGCTACTGATCACAAAACTGCACAATTACTCCAAACGGGCAGCTTCTCTACCAGTCCAGATCTGTGACAATTTAACCAGCTCCATTATGTTGCTAAAATCAAGCATGTAAGAAATAGTTCTGAAGACAAAAAGCTAGTATTTACCCAGATCACTAAAAAGCACATCTTTTAATTTAGATTTTGTTGCATCTCATCCATCATACCCATGAAAAACAGTTATATCACAAGCAATAACAATGGATTTCAAAAACACAGCAAGCCACAGCCATCCTACTCCTCACAGCTCCCCAAGCAGGGTAGAGTAGATTGCCCCCAGCCACATCCAGTCAGGTTTTGACCATCTCCATGGACGGTGACTTGATCACTTCCCTGGGCAGCCTGTTACATTGTCTAACCACCCTCACAGTAAAAAAAAAAAAAAAAAAAAAAAGTTATGTTTAAATTGCATTTCAATTAATGCCTCATTGCCTCTCATCCTGTCACTGGGTGCCAAGAGAAGAATGTGGCTATGTTTTCTTTACTTACTGCCATAAAGTATTTATAAACATTGTTAAAATCCCCCTTAAGCATTTCCTCCTCAATACTAAATAATCCCAGCTCCTTCAGAATGACTATTTTTATTTTTTCTAGAGAAAAAGTATTTTTCTTTTTTCCTCGTCAAAATATTCTAGTGCTTCTGCTTAGTTTTGACCACACAGAAGTAGATTAAGTTTCCTTAAATTACAGATTACCAGCAAGAAAGGGCCTTCCATACATTCTGGTTTATTGATTTAGTGGTATGTGGTTAAAAGGATCCTCACCTCGGTCTGCTATTCTCTTCATCAACTGGTGTTCACCCCATTTTATTAGATATTTAAGAATATCTTGTTCACTTGCCTGGTAGAAAGAGAAAGTCAACAATTTGTATATGATTAGTTTAAGTCACAGACACCTCTTTCACAGCTAAGAAGAAACAACTGTACCAAAATACTTGCTCAAAATATTATACAGTAGTACTACTGCTCTATTGCCACCAAGATTCCTAGATTTGTCCCTTATTAAATCCCCAGGAATTAAAACAAAAATTATTTCCATGGAAAGAAAACTTGAGGCCAGTATGAAAACTTACATGACTTAAATCTGAATTACAGTTAATTGAAAGGACAGTTCCAATACTGACTGTTGTTTGAATCTTTTCTATATTTAACAATACATTATTTGCATAGACTCATAAGTTATAGTAACAACCATGATAATCTCAGTGAAGAGACATACTTACACAACAAACAAAGCACACTTGTTTGGTTTGTACCTACATACACACTAACCAAACATTTTTAGAGGAAAAAATCAGACTGAAAAGTTTTTACTTTCATAACAGTTACGTTTAAATAATCTCTAATACTTTGTAGTTCACAAAGCAAGACTGGGACAGATATAATTTTAAAAACCCTGTCTTTACACTATATGGCTGGTCATCATTAAAGGTATCTTTCTTGAACAGATATAGCAACAAAAAAAAAAAACCACAAGTTTTCTATTATTCAGTGTGGTGTCCTCTCCCTAAAACCACTGAAGTAAAGACAACAAAAAAAATCTGCAATACTTGTCAGAAAAGTTATTTTTATGTCTCCCCAAAATAAAATAAATTAAGCCTTCTGAGCAATTAATTTATTAGCTCACTGCCCCCAACCAAGATACACATTGTTACAGCGTTAAGTATTACTACATCATTTTTTATAAAGCACTTTAATGTGCAAAGCAAATGTTAAGTTCAGAAATGCTTAATTTAAAATAATTTCCAGCTGTTTCTAAGCTATTGTTAGGCTTCTAAGTAACAGCATATACCACCAGCTTGTGTTGTGTTATAAGCCAAGAACAAAACAGTTTTCAATAACTACTCCAATTTCATTTTTTACATATTAAAAATAAGTGCTTAGCATGCATACAAAGCTGTGGGAAAGGAATTTGCAGGTGGCTTCGTGCTGTTTCACATATCCCTGAATTAGAGATAATAAGGAAACAAGAGGTAGAAAGAAAAACTTGAGCAAGGTTGAGATAAAAGTAACTTGGCTACAGTATTAAGGATGAGCTTTGGGCAGTGGCCAATTGCTGGCTGGCTCGAAGTGCGTGTCTAAGGGTCTCTAACCAAGTGTATGACAGATTTGGGTGCATGGACAGCACGTGGGCCAAGGGGAAAGTATATGTAGTAGTGAAAAAAGGCAATAAACGTCTCCTGTTCAAGAGCCATCAGGAGTCCGTGTCTTGCATCCCTTCACAAAGCCACCTCCTGACTACAATTTAAGATGGGCTACTCACAAATGCTTCTAGTAATGGTATCACCTATCCTGCTCCAAGCAGGCTAGCTGTATTCTGAACAGCAGATTACCTGTAAATAGTCAGACTGAATTGCTGTTAGCAGGTGGTCCTTGCTTAGTTCATAGAAGACATCTGAAGTCATGACCTGGGTAAACTCCTCACAGAGGAAATGCAGCGCCTGACGATGCACCCACTTGGAACCGTATGGCTGAGAACTCCACTTCAGAATGGCAATTAAGGTGTCTAGTGAAATGCTCTCAGCAATAATATCTTCACAGCCTAGGAAACAAAAGCAACAAAAATAAATCAATAAAGTTGTTACAAAGGCACTTTGATCCTGAAGAAATAACACAAGAATCAAAAATATGTAACAAAGGATTATATGATTCCCATCAGAGCTACAGTGAGGGTAAAGCCAGAAGTGCTCTACAGGCCAAGATTTGCAAACACGGTTAAATTCTAATGTATTTTTAATTGTGGTTTAGGGATTCCAACTACAGTCATTTACCCTCTAAAGCCACATGAAACTCTTTCTGCTGGTACACCAAGATGAACGACTGGAAAGCTAGTTCAGCTGTATCAGCCCTTTGATTAACACATATTACCTGGGTGTTTAACTCACTTTAAAGTCACAAGTCTGAATTTGAGTCATTAAAGCAGATTTAAGGGCATATATAAACTGCAACACCAGTGAGATTTTTGCCAGTATCACTTTGCATTTGGACCCTCCTGAGACAGACCATGCAGTGGATCAGAAACGAGAGCTGTGATATGTTGTTGATACTCCGCTGTTCAGCACAGCACGAGGGCAGCAAAGCATAATTTTCTGACTAGCAGCAAAGGCAGAAAGCAGAGAGCAGTTGCTCTAGGCCACCACGCTGGCCTCCACACCAAACACAGCACAGAGGGGTGCCAGGGCAGAGAGCACCTCTTCAAGATAGGGAGCCACAGAGCAAAGTCTGCAAGAGGCAGGGGCTCTGACTTGTGCTGTCTGCTGCACCTTCTCTGCACCCACTGCTGTATTAGGATTTACTCCTTCACAGAGTACGTGTCTTCCAAATACCAGACAGGGGATATCTCCCCATCCTGAAAGGAGATGGAGCAGACGTGGAAGAAGTCAGGCGAGACACACTGCAGGAGGGCTGAAAAACACTGTTAGTCAGGCTTACTGCACTAAGACAGACTGTGCCACAAGGCAAATATTCTGAGTCCCCAGCAGCACTGTGCTGATTTCACTTGTACATCTGGCTTAGATATTCACAGAATATGATTTCTATTTGCACTACAAAGATAGTAATTTGAAGAAAAAAATCCTGTGCTAGAATTATACATTCCAGTCTCACTCCACTATCCATTACAGCCACAAAATTATAGCTGTACTCATGCCTGTGAGAGGTTCCTGGATGGCTGCGAGCAGCATGCTTACAGCACAGTTCTTTTACTTCTTACACATTACCATTTATCCTCTCTGTTTCAGCAACATGAAAAAATTAAGATCTTTGACTGTTGTTTAGAGAAACGAATCTCCTTACTGCACTCTTGGGTGAAGGAAGTGTTTAGCTTGGTAATCCTAACATTTGTTAAGACAAAAAACAAAAAGACACATGGTGCTATGTACTTCAAACTGATTGCATACATGCAAAAACAAAACAACCCACCAGAAAATAGTAGAACAAAGAAAATCTTACTTTTCTATACAGGCCAGCATATAGTAAGCATTGGCTCATTCACACTATTAATTGCAACAGAAATGAAGAAGTCATTATGGAATAACAAGTAACCGTGCTATTTCAAACACGTAGAACACTATCTGCTAAAGTACTATTTAGGAGCAAAATCACTGAAATGGGAAACTTATGCAGTAGAGAAGGTACTAGGAAGCAACAGGTTAAACAAAACACAAAGGAGGCCACAAATTTGCCTGTCCTATCACATATGTGCATTTCTACTTAATAGTATAAAAACAGCATGTTAAATTATGAGAATAATATTCCAATGTTTATTTTTTTTGAACTTATAAGTACAAAAAAAAATACAGCGAATGATATTTACAGTCAGTGCTCAGCAAGAACATTTGCAGCAAATTCCAGGAATGTGTCTGAATGTATATGTAGTTTTGGAAGCAGTTTTTATTTATCTTCCAAGGTAATTTAGGAGAATAATGTCTGCATCCCCCAGTATTAATATAAATTAGCCAAGCTTATAATTGAAATAAACTTTCTTCAACAAGCACTTGGGATAATTTGTATTTCTACATTTCTACCTGATTTGCTTCAGAAAAGACCACATCAGTGGAGCCACTGCCAAAACGTTTAACAAATGCATATACATTTCTGGAAGACGTATTAAAGGTCGCATTCTATTTATCCCATGTTACTCCCCATTTGTTTTTGTCAAGGCAAACGCATGAGTCATGTTCCACTGCACCTGTTTAATCCTTGACCATTACTGAAGTAATACGGCACTTCTCAAACTACCTCTGACCATTACATTACACATCGTTACTACTAAAAATAAGGACAGATGACTTACTACAGATGTTGACCTCTAAACTGCAGAGCAAGAACCAGCCTAAGTGAGCAGTGAACATGCAGCACAGCTTGTTGATAGGAACTCGAAGCATCTGCTGTCATTTGTACCAGTGATGATCAGGCAGAGGATCAGAACCACTCTCTGAAATTCTCTACTTGGCTTTTGGTAAGTGATAGAGGAACTGCCCTCCTGGGATGATGGAACTCCCCAGAAGGCCAGCAGATAAACCTCATTTCGCATTCTTCTAAAATTCCATTCACGAATCTAAAAACCAGTGTTTAGGAAAAAGCTACTTTAAAAAAAAAATTAAAAAAAAGATCAAAATACTTCATCATACATCAGAAGTGTGAGTAAACGAAGTCTGGAAGCTTTCCACTTCACAGTCCATTTCTACTTACAATTCTACTTACATTTTTACTTGTGTTGTTAATGGCTGACAGAGCATTGAACTGTATCTCCCAAACCTGCCCTCCCCAACCATTTTATCTTCCCTTTTGGGTCTCAAAAAAAAAAAAAACACAACAAAATAAAACCCCTAAGTTAGCAACAAACTTGGCAATGCCAACAAAAGCTAACCAGTCCCTGGAATGGCTAGATACAGGACACTTAAGAGAAGCGAGCTTCCTAAATACGGAACATGCTGTTTGAAACAATTCTTAAAGGCCACCTGTTGTGTTGCACCAAGTCTCACCCTGCTAAATCCTATCACATTTTTTTGCGCATTCTATTCAGTTTGCATGCAAGCTGATTTCAGCAGATGATTACATCCCCTCAAGTCTAAAGAATACACGCAGGGAGAATTCTATTTCAAAGGCCGTTCGTAGGCCCATTCACCGAAATCAGCCACGACAAAACTCAAGCTGTAAGCACAACGAGACTTAACCCACAGTGAATGCCTCTCACAGCATTTCCCCATCCAGCATTTATTTTTGAAACAATAGAAATGCTGTCCCTGCTGCAAAGACGGAAGACTGCATATCCACAAGAAATACAGTTCTGAAGCTCTGAGCACCACCGATTTACAAAAGCAGAGCATCAGCTCAGCCTTGTTTCTGGGAAGCCTTTTTGCACAGCTACCAGCAATATGACAGGAGATGAAAGGCTCATTTAGGATGCCTAAATGATGAAACAGTCCTTTTCCCAAGTACTTTTATCAATGTGTCAGAACAGTGGGCATATTAAAAGTACTTCTTCTGAAGCAAGCATGAGGTAATAATTAAAGTGTTTGCTGAACATCTAAATAAATTAGGGCAACCCAATTCTAGCTATGGAAGGAATCCAATCCTTTTCCTTGGCAGAAGGTTTTCTTGCTTTAACAATCAGCCACTTGGCAAAAAAAGCCATCATCTAATAGCCACAATATTGTTCTGCACAGTGGAACAGAGCATTTTTTTCCTATGAGTGCTGTTTTATAATATTCAGGCAGCAACAGCCTTTCCAAGATCTATTTGCAATGTCCCCGAGTGCTCTACCCCAATCTTCTGCGACCATTAGCATCTTCCAAAGATCTTTCACTTCTTCAGACTCCAAGATGAATGACTTTATCCATTCTGGAAAACTGGGGCTTTCATGCCCTCTTTGTGCTGGATGCCAATAGCCATAGGTCCTGCCTACAGACAAGTCCTTTCTGCTTCCCCAGTTCTCTCTCAAACACAATTCCACAGCCCTTCCAAGCAGGAACAGCTTGAGCCCATGCTCAGCATACTAACAGCCTGGGATCTTATCAAGACAGTTGACAGATCTACCAAAAACAAATTACATGCCCTCAACAGTTAGCAGGAATAGGATCAAGCCAGGTTTTTCCTACAAAGTCGTTACCTTTATTTAACTCATTTTGTGGTGGAGATCTCTCCCCTTAAGCTTACGCATGCCAGAGGAGTCAGGAAAACCAGAAGTAAGAAGAATTCATCTTGACAACAAAATGGCATCTAGAGGCTATTAAATGGTTTGTAAAGTTTGTCACATTAGAAGAGACCATGCTGGTAACCAGGACACACGCTTTTGAATCTGCTGGCACACAGAAAATAGCTCAAAGGCATAAGTTACAGCTAGTGTGGACTACAATATATCTGGAAGCTCCAGAGACACGTATCATCCATGAGCATTCTTGCTGTTCTAACTGTTTTTGATTGGAAGAAAAAAAAAAGGAGGAAGACATTTACTCAGTCTCCCTCCCATGCCTTACAAAGGATGCAAACGCATCCTGTATTTGTTAAAAGTTTGTTAGAAGGCAGCCCACACTCACAGGCTGGTCAAGCGGTCACAAAAGCAAACCTCCTTGTACACTGGAATTAAACCAAACTGACCTCCCTCTTACACTCCACACCTCTCTTGCGTCTCAGTGGGACTTAGGTGGCCATGCAGTGTATGTACCAGTCAGCTCATTTCTGTCAGATATGCTTCCACATCAGATCCCTGGCTGCACAAACCACGCGGGAGGCAGGGCAGCAGTACCACTTCTGGCAGCCAAAACAATCTGTGTCAGGTTCAAGTGACCTCACAGAACTCAAGACAATTCATAGCAGTATGAATTTAGGTTATCCACAGCAGTAGGCAAAACATCACCTCTGAAAACAGTAAGAGCAAGTGAGAAGAGTTAGATGGGTTATTAGTTTTTGTCTGTACTGTTATCTCATATGCAGCAATACAACAACCCATACTTTCCCATAACTGCATTTGGCAAAGGGGATCTTCTCTTCAGCATCAATTTCTGTCATATTTTGGCTAACCCAATAGCTACAAAACAA